GGGGGGGGGGAAGTGGGACAGGGGAGAGTGGGTTACACTGGGGACCCTTGCCCCGCAGCAAGGCTGCACCCCAAGCTTCCTGTAGGCCCCTTCGAAGCTGTCCTCCCTGGCCCACGTGACTTGCCCATTCCTGCCACTGGCCAGGTCAGTGGCAGCACCCAAGCTGTACCTGTCCCTCGGCAGCCCCATCTGCACCCTCCCTGTCTCACTGTCCCCAGGTGACCTAAGAGCCTCCCTGGAAGTTGTCTGTCCCTCCTCATCTCTGGGACCCCTGACCCTCAGTGGCCTGGGCCCTTTTGTATCCAGATCCCCCACAAGTTTTTCCCTCACCTTAAACATCACTGCCATGCTAACACTCCTAGGTTTTTTGTTTGTTTAACCTGAACACTGCTGCAAGCTGCAGACCTGCCCAGGAAAGGCCGAGTTGGCACTAGGCTCTGAAGGAGCCTGAAGGCAGTCCCACTATCCCTCCCCAGCATTCCACCTTACAGCTGCTTGGGCCACTGGGCCTGAATTCAGCCTGGTGTGGCTTGGGCTCTTTCACTCTGCCCTCTTGACAGCTCATGTGCCGCAGGCCCTTTGCACATGCTGTCACCATCCCCTAACGTGTACCTTCCCAGTGTTCGTGGAGCCTTCCTTCACCTCCCTTCAGTCTTGGCTCACCTGTCACCCAGCCACCCATCTGCACCTCACCACCCCTGCGGCCCTGATCTCCGGACTTGATTTTTCTTCACAGGTATCACTTTTTAACAAACTCTTGAGTTCTTTTCTCATTTGTTTGCTTGGGTTTTATCATCGGATTCTCCTCTACAGCAGTGCTGATAGAATTTTCTAAAATGATAGGCATGTTCTAAACCTGCCTTGTCTAATACGAGAGCCATCAGCCACATGTGACCACTGAGCAGCGGAAACGTGGCTGGTGTGGCTGAACGGAATATACGACTTTACTTCCGTGTAATTAAAGTTGAAATAGGCCCGAGTGGCCAGCAGCTGCCGTACTGGAGAGTGTAGCTAGATCAGCTAGTCCAATAGGAACAGGACATGAACCGTCTGTTATTTGACATTCTGTAGCAGCCACATTAAAAAAAAACAAAAACAAAAACAAAACAAAACAAAAAACAAACCACACATACCAGTAAAGAAGAAGAGATAAAAAATTAATTTTAATGCTATATGCTAATGAACTCAGTACATCCAAAATATTGTCATCTTAACATGCGGTTGGTACAGCAAAAGCATTGGCCACGCATATTCACTCTCCTTTGCCTTTGAAATTGCGTGGGATTTTACACCTATGCGTGTTGAAGTACGGATAGGCTACATCTGAAGCACTCAGGGGCCGGTCTCTCGTGTTCACAGCTGCACCACGCACACCCGTGCGTGGCAGGCGGCCAGGAAACACTTGCTACGTGACCCGGCCAAGGCTGCCGCGGGGTTGGAGGGGGATGGATGGGGGGATGAGCAGAGCGGGGGTTCTCTGCACTTGCTATACCCCGTCCCTCTGGAATCTCTCTTCATAACCACCCCTCCCCCCGCGGATACTCACCGTGGCCCCCTTCCCCTACAGTCATTAGCCTGTGCCCCATGCCAGCCTCCTCCCTGTGCTCATGCTGTGCCCTGTGCCCTCCTGCCTGCTCCTGGACTCACCGGAAGGCATAGGAGGAGACGATGAGGACCAGGGTGACCACATGGTGGACGAGCATGACCACTGAGTCCTTGCGCCAGGCGTCCATGTACAGCGTGGCATAGATGGAATGGCCGTAAAAGCTTCCCTGCAGCAGGTAGGCGGCTGCGATGTCCCGTGGTACCGCCATGCCCGACGTCCAGTCTGGGGATAGCAGGACTGTGTTGGCAGGGACCTACAGGGCCTCCAGGACCCCTCAGGCTGGGGTGCGTCCTCCACAAGCCAGGGCATGCCACCTGTTTCTGCAGGTGTCCTGGTCGCCGGTTTTCTGTTCTCCTTCTCTACTCGTTATTTTTTACGAATAGCTGTTATTTTTCGGAACAGCTCTAGACTTATAGAAAAAGGTGCTCCTACCCCTGAAATCTGTCCCTTGCAGGATTTCCAACTCTGGCTTGGCCCCTCTTCCTGTCTTCTCTTACTCATCGGGCTCTCCTGAGCCAGCCCCGATGCCCCTGGCCTGGGCTCTCCAATCCCAGCTGGATGGAGGCTGCCCCCTGCCTCGCCATGCTGGGCGGGACGGCTGAGGCAGAAATCGGACCTGCCAACGCCATGCGTACGGACTGTCCCACCAGGTGGGTTGTGACTCCCCTTCACCGGCTCCTGCAGCCACCCCCATTCCTCCTGGCACCTGTGCCCACCCATATGCAGGCTTCACACCCTCCCGGTGACACTGACCCCTCAGCTCTCCCCATCACCTCTGCTTCCTCCCCAAGAGGGCTCTGTCTGCGTTGAGCTGGACTTCTCTGGATTGTGTCTTGTTCTCTGGCCACTCCCTAAAACGGCCTCCTTGGGCTCCATCCGGGGCCTCCTGTCCCCCAGCCTCAGAGACCTGGAACCAGACCCTCATGTTCCCCTGAAGCCTGGCCGTCCCCTAAAAATACTCAGTGCCCTCACCTCAGTGACAATTCTTCATCTGTGCCTTGACCTCTTATGTACCCGGGATCCACTTGGACCCCCATCCAGGGCCCCCTTCCATCCATACCTCTGCTCACTTCCTCTGCCCTCGCCACCCTGACCCTGGGCCAGGCACCGCTGCCTCCCGCCCGGCTCCGCCCCAGCTCCCCCTGACCTTCCAGAGCCTGTTCCCGACTGTCCACTCCCCATAGCGGCTTCAACAGCCATGAACACACAAGCTCCGTCATCCAGCGAGTCCACTCCTGGTTTGTACTCAAGGGAACTAAAAGCAGGGCTCCGTGTACACGCGCATCCACACCAGCACTGTTCACAATCCCCAAAAGGTGGAAGCAACCCAGAGTGTCCGTCAACTAGTGAGGGGGTGAGCAAAACGTGGTCTGGCCACACAACGGAACATCACTCAACCGTTTCTAGAAAGGAGCGATGCGCTGGCACACACGACCGTGTGGATGAACGTCAAAAACAAGAGGCGGTGTGAAAGAAGCCAGACACAAGAGGTCACGTGACGCACAATTCCATGTGTATGAAATGTCCAGAGCAGGAGACTCCGTAGAGACAGAAAGCAGATTCGGGGGTGCCAGGGGCCGGGGAGGCAGTGCTGCTCATGGGGACAGGGTCTCCTTTTGGCGTGATGGAAATGTTCTGGAACTAGACAGAGGTGATGGTGGCACAAAATTGGGAATGCACTAAATGCCTCTGAACTGTTCAATTTATTTTTTTTTCAACGTTTTTTTTTTTTTTT